ATATTCAGTTTTACAGCAACATTTGTCTGCCTCTTCCTTATTTAATGGGTTTCAGCCCTTTGTCAAGGATCAGCTGTCAGTAGGTGGTGGGATCTGTTTCTTTGTTCTCAATTTTCTTCCACTGGTCTATGTGTTTGTTGTACCAATATTCGGGTCTTTTGACTACTGTGACTGTATGGTGGGTTTTGATCAGGGAGTGTGAGACCTCGTACTTTGTTCTTCTTCAGTAGTGCTTTCCTTTTCTGCTATCTCTTGTTTCTTGCGTTTTTTTAATTAAATTAGCTTCTTTTTTCCATTAACTTTTACCTTTCAGCAAGGCCACACTTGTATCTTGTCACTTAGGAGTCTAACACTTTCCTCTTCCATAATCTGTCTCTCTGTCTTTATCCTTTCAATTTACATTCACACTTTTCCCTTACCCTTGAGGGATATTTTAGTTAACTCTAAAATTTCCTTATTATTTTCTTCCATTCTTATCACCCTTAACATCAGTGGTTTCATCTAATATCTCATTTAGAAGATTGATATTAGAAATAGAATTCCTTATTTATAACACTTTTTCTCTTTGACTTTATAAAAGTCAAAGTTATAACTAAGGTCCTCTTTTACACGTTTATTAATGGCTGTCACTCCCACCTTAGAGCCTGGGTTTTTATTGCTGTCTGCAATAGGAGCAGGCACATCATCTGCTGGCTGCCTTTGGTATATTACCTTCCACCTGTCTTCCCTTATGTCATTAGTTGATATAAGACCCATATGTTTTAGATATCGTGAATTTGGCAAAGAAGCCCCCCTTACCTTATTTTGATGAAAATAAATTTTTTACTTTCATTTTCACCCAGATATAGTAGGAGCACCTCATCTCTATGAGCCTGAATTGTAGGGGAGGCAGAATTTTTATCAAAAAGAAAATGCTGGTATCCTCACATACTTTGTTGAAACCTCAGATTTCTGTAGTAGAAATATTCTTTTTTTTTTTTTTTTAATGGTTTGGGTGAAAGTTTACAGAGCAAATTAGTTTTTCCATTCACCAATTTATACACATTTTGTTTTGTAACATTAGTTTCAATTCTCTCATTATATCAGCTTTCTTCTCACTTCTCCCCCCTTATCCATTAGTCCTTCTTTCCTGCTCCTTTCTGTCTTCTGAGCTATGGTTTGGGGGCAAATGCAGCCCTTTTGGCCTTAAATGGTTAATTGTTCTGAAGAGTTCCTCATGAATATTATTGTTCGCTTTATAGGCCTGTCGGTTGTTTACCTGAAAGATGATCTCTGAAGGTGGGTTCAGTTCCAGGTTTGAAGGGCCACAGTCTCTGGGGTTCCACCAGCCTCTATGAGACCAGTAAGTCTGGTCTTTTTTATAATTCTGAATTTTGTTCTACATTTTTCTCCCACTCCGTGCAGGACCTTCTGTCTTCTGTCCCCATCAGGGACAGTGGTGTTAGTCAGGCACCATCTAGTTCTTCTGGTCTTTGGTTAGTGTCAGCTGTGAATAGAACTATCCTTAATCTTTCTAATTATAAGAGGGCAATCTTGCCTTTCAATTGCATCAGCCATAAAGGATCCAGAATTTGACTTACATTTTGAGAAACTGCCTCGCAGTGGGCATGCTAAGATGTTAGCTAGATGGCACCCATGAGAAACTCATGTTTTAACCTGTTTGAGGGAATTATTTAAATCGTATATTTGAACACTATAGTTTGGTTTGGACAGAGTTTACCTAATTGTTCTTTCTAAAATATAATTAGCCTCTTGGTAAAATTGCTTCTTAAAGCCATTCTTGGTTCATAAGGATACTCATGAAAAGTACAATTTATTTGAAGTTATTTTCATTATCTCAATCAGTGATAGTCCTAGATATGTGTACAAAATTGAAAGACAGACTAATAGTCCACTTTTCATCAGACAACAAAACAGAGAAATAGCTGCTGTGAAGCACAGTCCTTAGCAGGCAAAGGGGACGTGTCAAGTTGACATAGTCCAGTGAAATCAGAAGATCTTTGGATCACAGCCTTAACTTTTTGTCTACTATGGATGGAAACATATAAAATTTTAATTAAATTAAAGCAGATGAATAAGTATTTTTATAAACATTGTCTAACAGCAACCCTGTGAAGGAAGAGATATTAGTTTACCCATTTTACGGATGAGGAAATAGAAGCTGTCTAAGACCTTCCACAAAACTGGTCTGTCTGATTGAAAATTGGGTCTTTCCTACCATTAACGGAATGAATTAATGAATGAAATATTTCAAAATTTCTCCAGGACTAAGAATCACTTACCATAAATTATCTTGTTTTGCCTCATGTGAAGCGCTGGCATAACTTGCTTATATACTTTTCCTATGGTGTTTTCTAGGATTTGGTAAAAAGTTTTGTTGTTTGTGCAGGAAGCCCATAGGAACAGAATGATAAGAGTAAACTCTTTGAGCTGTATCCACACCTGCTTTTTGTCCTGTACAATATTTCTCTGAAGTACCTCATTTGTATCTGTATATCACAGCTACTTAATAATGGTAATTTCAGACTTTGGATCATAGTTTTAAAAAATTTGTACCTGGAAGTACTAAAGGGAGCTCTGGTGCCATAGTACCTAAGGCACTTGACTGCTAACCGGAAAGCTGGCAGTTCAAACCCACTAGTTACTTCTCGTATAGAAGGTTGGGCAATCTACTTCCGTAGAGATACCGCCTTGGAAAGCCAAGGAGGTGTCGCTATGAGTCGGGCCTGACTCGATGGCACATTACAACAACAACAACAGCAGCAGCAGAAGTACTGAAAAGAACTTGGCCTTTGGAGTCCATTAAACTTGAATGCATCCTGAATTCAAATCACATTAGCTTGTGATGAGGGCCCTGGGTGCACACAAGGGGAGCGCCTAACTTGGACAGAGGATTATAAATGGTTTCCTGAGAAAGGGGACACTTGAGATGGACTTAACAGATGAGTGTAGTTACGAGAGGAAGGGCACTTCAGGCAGAGAGGGAACAGCACATTCAGAGGCAAATTGTCATGTAAAATGAGTCAGATGAGATTATAGCTGCATATTTTACATTAGACCAGAGGTCAGCAGATTAAGGCCTATTGGCCAAATCTGGCTCACCACCTATTTTTGTAAGCGAATTTTATTAGAACACAGCCATGTCCATTCATTTACTTACTGGCTATCAGTAGATGCTTTTGTGCTACAGTGGCAGAGTTTAGTAGCTGAGACAGAAATAGTCTGGCCTGCAAATTCTAAGATATTTACTTTCTAGTTATTTACAGAAGTTTTGCTGACTGCATAAGACTTTTGTGAGGAATTGTTAATAGGAAAGTGAGGTAAGACCCTCCTTTTTTAAGTTTTCATGTCCTACATCTAGTATGTGTGATCCTTGTCCCTTGTCCCAATTCTCTATGTGCTGTTCTTGCTGTGCAGCTGTACTGAGCAGCAGGGACCATATATAACCCAGCATGCATGGAAAGAACTTAGAGTTTATTATTTGGCTACTGGAAAGGCCTGTGGGAGATAATGATTAACTTGAGAGATTATGCTATGAGAGAGACCAAGTGAGAACTGGGTCATTGTTCCTCAGTTCTCAGAACATAGTTCTGTGTATGTATGGGTGGAGAAGGGAAAAAATAAATGTTCACTGTCATTTGTTCAAAGCTGTTTGGTTAAATTTGAATTTTCATGGAAGGGAAGAATGTTGGCAAGTAGGATAAGAGAGGAAACGTGGAATGACATAAGAAACATGCACTCAGGGAAGACAGACTTAGCAGTGTAGTCAATTAGATTCATATGCTTAGAAGTATATACTAGAGTTCCCACCTCTCCTTTAATTAAGCATACTTGTAGTTGTAATGTTCTTTGTCCAGTGAACTGCAATTACTCCTAACATTTGATGTTGAGTGTTGGTTTTCTTATTGGACTCTCATCCCTCTGCCTTGAGCTCTAGGTTTGCAGACTTTTTACTTCCTTTTGACTGAAAACTCTGGATTCTCTAAGTTCCACTTTGCCCTTCTGGCTTCCAGGCCCTTCGCTTATACCTGACAAATGATACTTAAGATTCCCAAACTGTTGCCTGAACCTCTGGGGTTGGTTCCTTGGATTTTCTTTTGAACCTAGAGAGCCATGTCTCAAGCACACTGATTGTACTCTAACCTTTGCTTACTAAATACTGAACCCCTGTCTCATCTGACCCTGTCGTTACCTGTGTCCTAGGGTGAATACAAAATAGTTCATTAAAAATAATTAGGCCTGTTCCTATGCTAGCCTTCATTTGAGCTGCATCTTGCGTGTCCATAGATAAACCAGGCAGATAACTCATTAAACTTTTAACAACAATAGTGTTTGTGGTCTCTTTGAGTACTGTGATGATGATGATGATGATGATGATGATGATAGTTTTTGTATACCAGGGCTCTTTTGATTTTTCTGTTTCGGTAAGAAAGTTTTAGATTTTTAAATACATTATTTTATATTTTTCAACTTCTAATTGATTTGTCTAGTTCTGTATTAAGTTTAAAATTAGGCTTACTTGGTTTTATTTAGAATTGATATACCCAGAACTTCAAACACAGTGACTCCAAGCTTTTAAATTACAGGGAGTAGTACAAAAAACAGTGGAATGTACTGTAATGTTACAATAATTTTAGACTGTAATTAAAGAGGAAAGGTAGGGTTTTTTGTGTTTCTGTTATCTAATTTTAATACTATAATAATTTTGTTTGTAGCAAGAATTTCAAAGACCACACTTTGTGATCATTTATGGTATCTTAAGTTTCTGCTTTGATTCCCAGTCTTCTCTCTAAAGATTAAAATTGATGTTATTTGAAACAGTTACCTGGGAAGCTAGTATGGGATTTACAAAGCATCTGACTTCATCACTGATATATTTAAGTGCTTTATGTAACTAATTTAAACAGGATTCACAAGGTGTATTCTTGGGTTTGAGAAGCCTAAGAAACAAGCCCAATATCACTTATTTGAGTGTATCTTTCTTTTTTGCCTGCTTCTAGGGTGACAGCTGAAGTAAAGCACAACATCACCAACACTGTGGTATGCAGAGTACAAGGGGAATGGAATAGTGTTCTGGAGTTCACTTACAGCAGTGGAGAGACAAAGTATGTGGACTTGACTAAATTGACAGTGACAAAGAAGAGAGTAAGACCTCTGGAGAAGCAGGATCCATTTGAATCCAGGTATGTCATCCTTGTTACTCATCCAGGAGAGAGTCAGAAGCTCTAGGTCTTAACCTAACCCTTTTACTTACTTGTGAATTTAAGGCAAGTTGCTTTACCAATTTGTATCAGTTTCCCCATCTGTAAAATGAAGGAGTTGGGATCTGATGTGATATTCTCGAGCCTTCACCAAATTTTAGTGAAAATCAAACATTCTCAATTTGGACAAAAACACTAACATTTAATAGTCAAAGTGTTACTGTCCTTACCATAAAAGCTCTTATTCTTACTATAAGCTCTTAACAAATTACTAACAAAAAGATAGGCAGCTCATTGGAAAAACAGGCCAAGAACATAAAGAGGTAGTTCACAAAAATAGAGAAAAAATGGCCACTAAGAAAGTAAAAAGTGCTCAGTGTGATTAAACTTCAAAGAAACACAAAACAATAAGATAATTTAGTTTTTAAAATACTACATCTTTTAAGAAAAGGTGTGAGCAAATAGGCATTGTCATACTGCTGGTTAAACAGAAACTGGAACAACCTTTCTAGAGGGCACTTTGGCAGTAGATGTCATAGACTTCTAAAAGTAAAGTAGTGGGTCAGTATCTATGGATAATATCAGTCCCCATATGTGTTTACAATGGTGGCTTCTGGATAGGAGTACTAGGGCTAAGTCAAGAAGGAGACAATAGAATGCCCTTTTGTAACTAAGTAAATTTTGTACGATATGGAAGCATTACTATATCACTTAAAAAAAGAGAAAGGAAACATTAAACATTTAAATTGTTGTTGTTGTTTTTGTTGTTATGTGCCGTCGAGTCGGCCCCGACTCATAGCGACCCCTCCTTGGGTTTCCGAGGCAGTATCACTACGGAAGTAGGATTGCCCAACCTTCCTTCCGAGGAGTTAAAATCACATAAATAGAACCAACAATTTTTAACAATATATGTAAATGAATTAAATACCCATCAACCAAAAGCTCAGACTGGGTTGGGGACAAAAAAAAAAGTAATGATATTAAAAATACTTTTGTAGGGATTTATCCTAAAGGAGAGGTTTATGCAGATCCCTGGAGATCTCTGAAACCCTTGCAGAGTTGGGGTACAAAGTCAAAATTATTTTTATAGTACTAATGTGCTGTTTGACTTTTTCCCTGTGTTGACATTTGCCCTTATGGCAGTGGTGGGCAGTACCGTTGGGCCGTGGCATCCATCAGGGCAGTGACACCACACTATACGAGTTGTCAATTGTATTCTGCACTGCCATGTACTTTCATTTTTTTTTAAATGCCAGGTTTTTTTTTTTTTTTTTTTTTTTAATGTCTTTCATGAAGCAGTGCAAATGATTAGTTTTATTAAATTTGGACTGTTGATAAGACATGTTTTTAGTGTTCTGTGTGACAAATAGAGTGCATGAAACACTTGCACTGTACGCCAAAGAAGTACAGTGGTTACTAGAGGAAAAGTACTTCTATGGTTGTTTGACTTGCAAGCTGAACTAGCCACTCTTCATGAAACACCACCTTAACTTGAAAGAATGACTGACAAACTGTGGTAACCCTATTTTGAATTTTGGGCAGACATAAATGAATGATGTAAGCACAAGACTTTAAGGAAAACAGCTGACAGTATTTGTTGCAAATAATAAAATTTGAGCTTTCAAAGACAAATTAAAAGTTTGGAAAAGTTGTATCTGTTGCCACTATGAGTACGACAACTTGCCAGGTAAAGACTTCTGACTAAATCCCTGGTAATAATTAATTTTTTTTTTTTTTTTTTTTAATATTATATAATGAAAGATGTCAGCATCTGAAAGATCTGTATAGCTCAGTGAACCAATATGTTTCAAATGATCAATGCGTGATGTTAAAAAATCATGCCTGCGAAAAGACCCATTCAAAGTGCAAGTTAGGCCAGTGGAACTCTATATAAACAGAGTATGAAAAAATCATTAGCATTCTTCAGTTTCTACATTGCAGCTAACCTTTAAAAAACTACCACTGGCCAAGTTTGGACATGGTATTAAAGAATGGAATTATTTGAAAAACCTGTTAAAATACTCCTTTCCTTTCCAACTATCTATATCTGTGAGGTCAGATTTTCTTTATGTACTTTAACTAAAGTAATGTATTACAACAGATTGAATAGCAAAATCTGGCTATTATTAAACCAGACTTTAAAGAGAGATATAAAAATGTAAAATACCCTTTTCACTATATTTTTTAAATATAGCTGTTTTTTATTCTAAAATGTCATTTCTACAAACATGTACCATTATTATTAAATTTAAATGAGTTAGTAAATATTTTAGATTTTGTCAGGTTCAATTTCTAATCCAGGAAATATCAATAGGTGTAATCTATGTAATTAAAAGCTTTTTGGAATTCTAAAGAAATTTTTGCAAATGTAAAGGATTCCTAACCAAAAACTTTGAGAATTGCTGCCCCAAAGGAATAATTGAGGAAGTATGCAGAGATTCATGTTCGAGGAGGTAAATACATTATTTATAATTTCCAACAGTGTGAGTGTAATAAGCTTTTATAAAATGGAATTCAGTGAAGCCGTTTATTGATGTCCAAGGTTAATGACACAAAAATATATTGTTATGTGAAAGAAAAGGCCAAAGTCCATATATTAGATTCCATTTTAGAAAGGAGATACAGGTACGTATGTACAGGAACCCCCTGACATATGATGGGGTTCTTTTCTGACGACTTTGTCATAAATCAGTTCTGATATAAGCCGAATACCTCATTTTATTTTATGTTTTTAGTTACATTATTATTGGCTTTTATTAGTAGTATCTTTATAAATCTGATTTTTATTGTCTTTTGGGGTTGGGAACATTACATACACACTTAACAGATTTGATGACATCAGCAAATTATACATTAAACCATTGCTAACAATAAGATGTACCAAAATATAAACAACAGAAAATGGACAATTATAAATGCAGTTCGTCATAAGTCAGGTCTACCTTTATATCATATATACCCAAGAAAATTGAAAACAATGTACATGAATGTTCGTTACAGTATAATAGCCAAAAAGTGGAAACAACTCAGATGTGTTCATCAGCTGATGAATGGATAAACAAAATACATTGTATTCTTACAATGGAAAATTATATGACAATAAAAAGGAATGAACCAAACCAAAACCAAACTCACTGCTGTCGAGTCAGATCCAACTTATAGCAACGCCTCCTTGGATTTCTGAGGCCATATTACTATGAAAGTAGATTGCCCAATCTGCCTTCCGAGGAGCAGCAGGTGGTTTTGAACCTCCAGCCTTCTGGTTAGCAGTCAAATGCCTTAGGCACTATGCCACCAGAGCTCCTAAAAAGGAATAAAGTATTTATAAATGTTACAGCATGGATGAATCATGAAAACATTAAGTGAAAGACACCAGACACAAAAGCCACATACTATATGATTCTATTTATATGAAATGTCCACAGTAGGGAAATTTGTAAAGAAAGAAAATAGATTAATCAGGAGAGAAGAGAACGGGTGTGGCTGCTAATGGGTACAGAGTTTCTGTTGTTGTTGTTATGTGCCGTGGAGTCAGCCCTGACTCATAGCGACCCCTCCTTGGGTTTCCGAGGCAGTATCACTACGGAAGTAGGATTGCCCAACCTTCCTTCCGAGGAGTGGCTGGTGGGTTTGAACCGCCAGCCTTCTGGTTAGCAGTCAAGTGCCTTAGCCACTATGCTACCAGAGCTCCCACAGAGTTTCTATTAGGGGTAATATTTTTTGAAATTAGATCGTGGTGATCGTTGCACAAGTCTTGAATATATTGAAAAATACTGAATTAGATACTTTAATGAGCTTTACTTTATGGTAGATGAACTGTATCTCAATAAAACTTTTAAAAATCTCAAATCACTAAAAGTAAAGACTGTCAGTATCAAGTGTTGGTATGAACGTAGAGGAACTGGAGCTCTGATTCTGCAGTGGGAATGGAAATGGTATGGCCACTTTGCAAAAACAGTTTGGCAGTTTCTTCTAAAGTTAAATATATGCTTACTGTATGATCCAGCAACCTCTCCTCTTAAGTGTTTATCTGAGAGAAACAAAAACATGTTCACACAAAACTTGTTTTTCATGGGAATTTTAGCCATAGTACCAAAAAGTGGGAACAATGCAAATGTCCATCAACTGGTATAAGAAGTTAGGGAGAGAAGATGCATTCTGTATGATTCCAGTTCTATAAAATTAGAGAAATGGCAAAACTATCATTTCAGAAAGAAAATTAGTGGCTGCACGGGACCAGGAATTGGGAAAGAGATTTGACTGCAAAAAGACATGAGAACATTGGGGGACGATGGAAATGTTCTGTATCTTCATTGTGGTGGTGATTTTACAACTGTATATGCTTGTCAAAGTCACTGAATTTTATATTTAAAATTGGTGAATTTTGCTGTTCACAAATTATAACTTGATGAAGCTCATTTAAAAAGTAAATAAAGGCATAGAATGTATTTTTAAAGTTTATAATAATTAGGAGCCCCTGAGTGGCACAAATGGTTAAGTACTTGACTACTAGCTGAAAGGTTGGTGGTTCAACCCCACCCAGAGGCACCTGAGAAGACAGGCCTGGTGATCTGCTTCCAGAAGGTCAGAGCTCTGAAAATCCTTTGTAGCAGTTCTACTCTGTACACATGCCATCACCATGAGTCAGTCCACTGGATGACAATTAACACCACCAACAACAACATAAATTTACATATCAATATGATAATAGTTCTTTCTGGGTACTGGCATTTCAGTGTTTTGTTGTTTTTTTTTTTTTCTTTTTCAAGATTATTTTGGCTATTACAGGTTCTTTGCATTTTAGAATCAGCTTGACAATTTCTACAAAAACACCTGCTAGGATTTTGAGAGATTATGTTGAATCAGTTTGAGAAGAATTGTTATCTTAGTAACATTGAGACATATAGTCCATGAACATAATGTACTCTTCCATTTATTTAGATCCTTAATTGCTCTCAGCAGTGTTTTGTACTTTTAGTTTATGGGTGTTACACATTATTCAATTTATTCTGAAATATTTCATACTTTTGATGCTATAGAAAATAGTAATCCAATTTCTAATTGTTGCTATTAAGAAATATAATAGATTTTTGTATATTGAACTTCTATCCTGCAGTCTTGCTAAACTCATTTCGTAGTACCTTTTCCATTTTCTACAAATTTAGTATGTGTTTATAAAGACAATTTTCCTTCTTCATTGGACTCACTCCTGTGGTGTCCAGTCAAACAAAAGTCAGGCGTATGAGGTGAACATTTACATTAGGTAGTACACTCCTGGGAGCTCTGGTAGCATAGTGGCTAAGGCTCTTGACTGCTAACCAGAAGGCTGGCGGTTCAAACCCACCAGCCACTCCTCGGAAGGAAGATGGGGCAATCTACTTCCGTAGTGATACTGCCTCGGAAACCCAAGGAGGGGTCGCTCTGAGTCGGGTCTGACTCGACGGCACGTAACAACAACAATAGTACACTCCTTGGAGAGAGCAATCATGGGCAAATAGAAGGGCTAAGTATGCACTGGGAGACAGCTTGGGGAGCAGGAGTGCATGAAGGGAAGAAGACACAGGGAAGAGGTGGTTATAGGTAGGAAATGGGAGGAGCTGTTGCATTGTGGGAAACTGTAGTCAATGTCATGAGACAGTTTTACTTCTTTCCTTCCAATCTTTATGCCTTTTTCTTGCCTTATTGCATCAACTAGGACCTGGCTTGTCATACTGAATAGAAGTGGTAAAAGCAAGCATCCTTGACTTGTTCCCAGTATTAAGGAAACAATTTAATCTTTCAACATTAAACATGATGTTATCTGTAGGTTTTTGTAGGTATCCTTTGTCAGATTGAAGAAGTTTCATTTTATTCTTAGTTTGCTGGGAGTTTGTATCCTAAATGGGAAATAAATTTAATCAATTTTTTTCTGAGTCTTTAACTGTATTTCAGTGTCTTTAGTAAAGAGGACCATTGAAGTTATCTAACCCTTCCTGAATGAGCTTTAGTACTTTGTGTCTTTCAAGGAATTAATCCATTTCATCTAATTTGTCAAATTTATTGGCACATAGTTCATAATACTCTTTAAGTGTATAGGATCTACAGTGATGTCCCTTTCTAATTCCTGATTTTGGTAGTATTTTTCTGTTGTTGTTGTTGATCAGTCTTACTAGAAGTTTACTAATCAAAAAACCCAGCTTTTGGTTTCATTGATTTTTGTCTACTGTTTTTCTGTTTCATTTTTCATTGATTTCTGCTCTTTTTCCTTCAATATCCTTTTTTCTGTTTACTTTGTGCAACATTTTTCTAGTTTCTTAAAGAGGAAACTTACATCAGGAGTCAGCACCCTTTTTCTGTAAAAAGCAAAACAGTGAATATTTTAGGCTTAGAAGCCTAACACAACTACTTAACTCTGCCAAGGTAACAAAAAAGTAGCCATAGACAGTAAGTAAATGGATGGGTATCACTGTGTTGCAATAACAATTTATTTACAAAGCCAGGCAGCTTTAGTTTGCTGAATACTACTTTAGGCCATTAGTTTTTCTTCTTTCCTAATTCTTAGTATTTCTTTCTAAGTGCTCCTTTATCTGCATCCCCCAACTCTTGATAGATTGTGTTTTCGTTTCAAAATATTTTCAGATTTCCCTTAAGGATTTTTTTTTGGACCCATGAAGCTATTTAGAAATATATCATTAACTCTCCAAGTATTTGGGGTTTTCCAGATACCTTTTCATTATTTGTTTCTAATTTAATTCCAGTTTGGTAAAGAAAGTACTTTGTATGGTTTCAACCCTTTAAATTTGTTGAGATTTGTTTTATGGCCCAGGACATTTTCTGTCTTGGTAAATGTTTCACATGCATTTGACAAGAATATGTATTCTGCTGATGTTGAGTGAGAGTAAAAATGTCAATTAAGCAAGTGGGTTGATGATGTTTTTCTAGTCCTTTACATCCCTACTGATTTTCTGCCTCCTTGTTCCATTGGCTAAAATCAGGTATTGAAAACATCAAATATAATTGAATATCTCCCATTGAAGTTCTGTAAGTTTTCACCTCATGTTATTGGCAACTCTATTATTCGGGGCATACACATTTTAGACAGTCTGTCTTCTTCTTGATGGACTGATGACTTGGTCATTATGATATGATCCCTGGTAGTAGTCTGCTTTGAATTCTAGTTTGTCTGATATTAATATTGCTACTTAAAAAAAAAAAACTTTATCATATATCTTTTAGATATCATAAAAGTCACTCATTGTAAGTGTACAATTCATTGACTTCAGTAACTTTACTGAGTGGTGTGATTATCACCATAAATCACTTTTAGAATCTTTTCTTCCTCCCGGTAGGATCCCTCATGCCCTTTTACAGTCACTGAATCCCTGTTCCTACTCCAGCCTCAGGCCACTATCATCTACTTCTCCATTACTTTACCTTTTCTGGACTTTTCATGAATGGAATCGTACAATGTGTGCTGTGTTGTTTCTGGCATCTTTCAGTTAGCATAATGGTTTTGAGATTTACCCATGATGTAGCATGTTCCATGTGTGCATTCCTTGTAGTACCCCATGGTGTGGATTTGCCACATTTTGCCTCTACATTCCCCAGTTGATGAAACTATAGTTCTTCCAGTTTTGGGTTATTATAAATACTACTACTGTGAACATTCTTGTGCAGATTTGGTGGTAGACATATGTTTTATTTCTCTTGGCTATATGCCTTGGAGTAGAATTTCTGAGTTGTGTGATCATTTTATGTTTAACTTTTTGGAAAAATGCTGACTATCCAAAGTAACTACACCATTTTACGTTCCACATCCTCATCAACATTGGTTGTCTGTCTTATTTATTATACCCATTCTGGGGCATGTGAAATGAATCTCATTGTGGTCTTAGTTTCTATTTACCTAATCCCTGATGATGCTTATATTTTCATGGGCTTATTAGCCATTTTAATATCTTTTTTGATGTAATGTGTGCTTATATCTTTTGCTTATTTTTTGATTGGGTTGCTTGTATTCTTATTGGGAGGGATATAAGAGTTCTTTGTAAATTCTGGGTAGAATTTTTTTTTTCATCAGATTAATGTTTTGCAAATATTTTCTCCTTGTCTGTTGCTATCTTCATTCTCTTAATGATTTTTTGCAGTATAAAATTTTACATTTCATGGAGGTGTGGTTTATCAATGCTTTTCTGAGTTTTTTTTGTTTTTTTTTAAATGTGTGTTGTATCTAAGAAATCTGCCTTACCCCCAAAGTCTTGAAGATTTTCTTTTAAAAGTCTTACTCTTTTAGGTCTGCATTTAGGCCTATGGTCTATTTTGACTTAATTTTTGTGCATAATGTGAGATTACAGTCTGAGTTCATCATTTTTCATGTGGGTATCTACTTGTCCCAGCACGGTTTGTTGAATAAACTATCCTTTCTCCAAAGAATTGCTTTGTGTGGTAGTTAAGTTGTGTGTCAGCTTGGCTGGGCAGCTGGATGTAGTATTCCCCATGGTAAGACTGGTAATCAGCTCCATGGTGGAATCTACTGAAGAAGATGTGTAGTTGCCTTAGGGATACTTCCAGTAAATGAGGAGAAGTGGTGGGAAAGGTCTGCGGCTTTTTGGCATGCTTGATGTAGCTGAATCTTTATTTAGCAGCCTGCTTTGTTTCCTGGTGATCTCGGGACTATCTTGGACTTGAATTAATGACTTTCCATATTGTTTGGTAATATTGGGACTGTGCCATTTTTATTTGCCAACCTTGGGCTTGTTAGCCTCAGCAGGCAGCAGCTCCCTGAGTAAAGAGATGCTCCTTCTGAGTAAATACCAGGAGCAAGAGAGGCAAAGCTGAAGGCCAAGGTCGAGGGGCTTTCACCCTGCCCCTAGAAGCTGGCACTTTGAACTCAGACTTCTAGCCTCCAAAACTATAAGAAAATAAACTCCTGTATGTTAAAGCCATCCACCTATGGTATTTCTGTTAGAGCGGCACGAAGTAACCAAAACACTTTGGTAATTTTACTTGTTGCTGTTAACTTTTCCCTTACCTGTGCTATGGCCTGTAACTCTCTTGAGGCAGTGAGTTGGAAAATTCATAGGGCCCCTTTTGTTTATTCTCTTCTCAGGGATTGCTGTCCAGCACTGCTTATTGCCAGGGAAAATCACTGTTTCATCATATTTTGTCTAGTTTACTAGTTGATTAAATCAGGAAGTCAAATCTGGTCCTTGTTGTTTCATCAAGTCTAGGTGCAAAAGTAGTTTCTTATATCACAGGTTTTTAAAAAAATGTATCTCTCTTTTTGCTTTTTATTTCCAGAGTTTCCGAAAAATAAAAATCTTTTCTTTTTATAACTAGTAAAAATACAAATTCCTTTTAATTAAAGAAGAAGCAGTAGCACCCTGGACAGTAACAGCAGCAGCAGCGTATCAGTGGTCTTGTAATTCCTAGATAGGTCGTTAAGGTCGGATTTAGGATTTTTTTTTTTTTTTTAGTTACTGTAATTTTGAAGTTATCAGTTCGTTCTTTTTTTTTTTTTTTTTTTTTAATTTTTCCCCCAAGACGGTTGTAAAATGTGGCTTTCTGATTTTAGACGATTATGGAAGAATGTGACAGATTCTCTGAGGGACTCTGAAATTGATAAGGCTACAGAGCACAAACGTACCCTGGAAGAGTGCCAGAGGACTGAGGAGAGGCATCGGACCGAGACAGGTACACCCTGGAAAACCAAGTATTTTATTAAAGAGGTAAGTTCTGCATGTCTTTAGGCTAAAACTCAGCACTACATAGTAAGAACTTTGGCTTAGGGGCACTGTTGAATTGCTCTTACTCCTAAACCTTTATTTCTCAATTGGTCTACCTTAAAATGAGATTTTTCATGAAATTTTTCACAATTTTTCGAAGTAAAATGGTTTACTAGCAGTTCAGGTTAAATAGATTTGGGGATTTAAATTGGCCACACATGAAAAGGCTAACATAATTTCCAGTACCAATAAAAGACTGTGCAATTTAGAATCCATTGCCTTTTATATTCATTTCCAGAGAACATATTTTAAGGGAGGTGTGAGAAGCTTAATTGGCTGCATACACAGAAGATAGTGGTGAAGTGACTAGAATCTTTGCATCATTTAAGGAAAACGAATGAAGTGGGAATATTTAGCGTAGAAAACAGAAAAGTGGAGCCATTTGTTATAACTTTCATCTCATATACAGGCATACCATGTAGAAAGGGAGCGCTGGTGGCACCATTGTTAAGCTCTTGGCTGCTAACTGAAAGGTCAGCAGTTTGAACCCAAGAGCCACTCCACGGGAGAAAGATGGAACAGTCTGCTTCCAGAAAGATTGCAGCCTAGGAACCCTATGAGGCAGGACTTCTCTGTCCTATAGGGTCACTATGAGTCAGAATGGACTTAATGGCAATGCAGATCACGTGGGGAAAAAAAAAATTTTTTTTCGTTTTTCTGTTTGGTTAGTAGACTAGAGCTAGGCCCAAACTACCAGGAAGCAAATGTGGGCCTTAAGATAAGAATAAAACAACCAAAAACATCCAGTAACAACAAGAGCATATATCTTACAGTACTGTACTCCAGTTGCTAAAGCTACATAAGCAGAGACAATTGTAGAATTTTATGTACTGATTTTGAAGTTGGACTAAATGACTTCTGAAGTCTTCTCTACATGTGAAGACTTTTTAAAATTTTGTTATTGTTATTACTTTCTGATAGAATTCAGAATACAGTGACTAATGGACCTGAGCTAAAATCAAAAAAATTTTCTAATTTATGGCTAAGTATAAAGCCAAATATTGGTCCATTAGAAAGGAATCTGGAAAAAGTAATCTGATTATGATTTTTGTCATCATTATTGCTCTTAAAAATACATGACTTATTGTAGTAGTTCTATTACTATGAAAAGACCAGGGACGATGGAAAGGTAGATGATCAGAATACTGACTACTGCCCAGCCAGAAAGTCAGTCAGAAGATACTAGATTTGGGCCTGGTTGTTAGTAGCAGGAGAGCAGTCATGAGAATTTTGGTGCCAAAATTGATGCAAACAGAATCTAGCATTGGCCTAGCAGCTTCTATTACTTAAAGATTTAAATGAGTATGTGGAAAGAATCAAGTCTGTCTTTCTAAATAGTGTTTCTTCTTTTTACCCAACTAATACTACAGTACATTCTTGGCTTTATTTATTTATTTATTTTTATTTATGATATAGATTGTTAAATGGGAAAGTAATTTGCTCGGTAAACTCTTATCTAAACCACAATAAAATGTTCACACACACAAAAAAAGTTAACAGCACATAAATATTGTCGAATAGCAAGTGGGAGTCCTACATCTCACTGCCTTACTGGAGGGCCTCTGTGGGGACAGTTTTGCTGTCTGTTCTTGTTTATTAAATGCATCTTTAAACCCATCCTTCATTATGCTTTTCTAGCCCCAAGCAAAGAGCCTGGCACATGATAAGCAATCAATAAAATACCTGTTGAATAATTACCTGAAAGAAAAAGATATCAATATACAAGATATTCAGAAAAATAATCAATGAATTGTGCTGAGATTTTTGTATGACTTAAAACTTAGTCTTCTAATATAATTTATTTTTTAAAAGCAGCAAGATTAAGTGGAAAAAACAAATTCTTTCTTTTCAGGTCTTAGAGAAGCAGTATATCTTCATTACCAAGAAGCTGAATAGGAAATCAGTAGCATCCTAACACTGGCCTTGCAAACCCAAGCGTATAAAAGTGATGAACAACGTCTTAGCTATTGTTCTTTTTTTTTTTTTTTAATTTTATTTTGATTTGGGTGAAGATTTACACAGTAAATTCACTTTTCATACAGCAGTTCACATATACTTTGTCTCATGTCATTGACCAAAATTTACA